GGCAGAGGCAGGCGGATATCTGTGAGTTCGAGGCCAGCCTGGTCTCCAGTAGTTACCTGCCAGCACGGCTGGAGACAGGCAGCTTGTAGGGTGGGAGATGGTCTGGTGGGCTAGTGTCAGGGCCCTGAATATTCCAGAACTGCTAGACCTGTGTCTGCCTCCCCGGCCAATACAAAAACAGGCTGTGACTATCAGCTGGGTTTGTACCCTGACCCCCAGCGTATCGAAGCTGGGATTAGAATTAAGGCCACTGGAATGTTTGGTGACCTTAAGGAATGGGGTCCAGGCCTCTGAGGACCCCCTTAAGGAGTTCTGAGCCTAACAGTGAAGGACAGGCCAGCAGCAATTTATGTCCTTCCCAGAAAGCTGCAGTCCTCATCTGGCAGGGTCCCTCGAACACTCACTGTGCACACGGCTGTCTGCAGGATGGCATCGAAGCCGCCTTCGGGGGCGTCCAGGTTGCCTGATATCCGTTCTCCTTGCAGTTTGTCCAGGAATTCTTCCACGCTCTCTGTCAAGCTGATGACGTTCTTGAAGGAGAATGGGGGGTCACTGTTGGGCCAGGGCTCCTTCAGCCTGGACAAGGTGGAAATTGAGCCAGTGTCAGGGAAGGACTGGGTCCCACATGCTCCGGTGCCCGTGACTCATTCCGGTCAGAGGAGAATTCTAAGTGCCAGCATGACAGGAGGTGGAGCACATGGCCGGGACTCCTGCCCACCCAGACCCACTCAGCCACTCACTTCTCAGGCCTCATGTCTGTCTGAGGGACACTGACTTTGTCCACAAACTTTCCAAATCCAATAGTGTAGTCACTGGTGAGCTGGCGCAATATATTGGCTGGATATCAGGAAAAAAGAAAGACGGCTGAGTCCCAGCAACCCCACAGGGGACCCTGTGCTGCTCAGTGTAAACACTGTGTGTTGAACATCAGCTCATGGACTCATAGCGTTTGTTCCAATTTTTTTTAAAAAATTATTTCACGTGCATGGCACTTTGCTTGCATATATGCCTGGTGTCCATGGAGGCCTGAAGAGGGGTCAGATCCCCGGGAACTAGAGTTGCAGATGGCTGTGGGCTACCATGAGGGTGCTGGGAATAGAACCCAGATCTTCTCTTAACTGCAGAACCATTTCTATAGCCCCTTTGTTCAGATTTATAATTGGGGGAAATGAGGCTGGAGACAACTTAGAATTGTGTGTTTAGAAATAGTGTGTCAGCCAGGAGGTGGTGGCTCACTCCTTTAATCCCAGCTCTCATGAGGCACAGGCAGGTGGATCTCTGAGTTTGGGGGTAGCCTGGTCTATAGAGTGAGTCCCAGGACAGCCAGGGCTACACAGAGAGATGCTGTCTTGAAAACAAAACAAAACAAAGAGATAGTGGGGCAGCTGGGCACTGAACTCGGTTTGTTCTGCAGAACTGGCATAATCATGGCCTTGTGCCATGGGTTCCCTCTTTGTCAGGGTCAGATGGCTCAGCTCCTTGCCATTCTTGGGCCTCCTGTGAAACCTCAAATCATGAGCAGGGTCTGGCCGGAATCTCCCTCTGTGAACAGGGGATCTTTGAGGTGTGTGTGGGAGGGTGGGTAGGTGGGGGCCCTCAGATGTTTTGTCTTTCCCGGGGGGTAGGTGCAGCTGTCCTGTGTGTTGGCCTCCTGAGCTAGCTGGGCAAGCCCCACACCCACCCCTTCCCCTCCACACTGCAGCCGTACCCAGGTTCTGCCCCATCTGCTTGAGGTTGTCCAGATCATCAGACATGGAGTTGGAGAAGTCCATGAGGATGTACAGATCCATGGGGCTCTCCAGGGGCTCAAACACCTTGAACACAAAGTTGCGCTCCTCACCTGGTCGCAGCCGGACCTGCAGGCCTTGGGGAGACACCTGGCTGCGGTGCAGGGTGGTGTCAATCTGGGTGTTCTGTGTCCAAGGGAGTGGGGCAGCTTATTAGAAGGTCACTCTGGAGACCTGAGAGGGGCATCTCAGGCCTGCCACGGGGCACCATGGGCCTCAGAACCAGCCAGTCTCATGCGTGGAGAGCCCAGCCTTCCACCCCACTCCAGGCACCTCTGTGATGTCAAGACTGCTCTCCATAACCAGCACACTCTCTGCCCTGCAGCCTGCGGCCAGAAGCTCCTCCTGGGTATTGCAGCGCCGCTCCTTGAACAGCTGGCCAGAAGCAGATGGGCTCAGTGCAGGTGATGGCCAAGCCCTGGCCAACCCAATCCCAGTTGATTTCCTCTTGATACTTCTGACCCTAACCTCTTCTCCCACCCACCTGGCTGGGGCTAGGCTGAGCCGGTGGAAAGAGTGAAGCTGGGGTGGGGGTAGATGGTGGCTCAGGCTGGCCCACAGAGCCTAGCGGTGGTGGCTCACCTCGTCTGTGCAGTAGGCACAACTCTTGTCCACACGGATGCACTCCGTACAGCTCTTCACCTGAGCCTTCTTGCAGCGGTTGGCTGGTGAGCAGAGGGCACATGGAGGGAGGTGAGGGCTCACCAGGGGCCTCCCTTCCCCAGCGGCACCTTCGCCAGGGAGAAGTGTGGAGTCTCTCCCAAATGTATAGAGGAGAAAATGGTCTGCTCCACAGAGCAGAGCTAGCAATGAGCAGAGCAGGCCTCAAACCTGGAACTTCCCCCTTAAGTCGGGAGGATGGAGAGCCAAACGGAAGTACAGGCTCTGCTGGATGGACCACCCTTGCCATTTAATCCTTTCCAGGTATGTCTAGCCTGTAGCCCTTGGGCTTGTGTGACTAAAGACAGCTATTAATACACAATAGTAAACATACTTAAAACATCATGAGATTTTTTTTTTATTTTGGTAGCCTGATTGCACAGTTCTCAAGCATGAATCTTGTAGATGACATCAGGTCTTAATGTCAAAAGGCTGGCTGTAATTGTTAGGCCCTACAAAAGCTCCCATCTGTCCAGACTCCTGTGACAAGCCACATCCTTCATTCCCTGCCCTTTGCCAGTGCCTCCTCATTATGGCTATGTTTCCTAGGTGGCTGCCAGGTGACTGGGTCTGTCCCCTGAACCTCCTCTAGGGAGGGGACAATCTGTCTTGCTTTTATCACAGGACCCGACCCTTGTGCTTAGCACAAGGCTGGGCACACAGTAGGTTCTTGGTACATGAAGGAAAGCCCTCAATTTACTATTATAGTCCTATAACTATAGTCCTCTCTAGGAAATGAACATGACCTCAACTGGCAAGGAAAACTTAATTGGTAGGAGCCATTTTCCACCTGGGGACATTCAAGGGAGTAGTTTGCATGCCAGCAGTCCCCTTCCAGGGTCCTCTAACACTCAGAGCTCTGCTACGGATGCCTCAGCTCTGACTCTCAGTGGACAGCTTACTGCCCTTTCCATTCTGCCCACCAAGCAGGGCTTGCAATTGTCAGAGGTGAAGGGCGTGGACCCTCAGGTTCTCCAGCCTGAGTGGTGTACAGCTGTCCATAGTTGGGTGACTGACTTGTGCAGGGTCATGTCTTAAGAGCTGCCTAGAGGGGCCTACAAGGATATTCAGACTCACCCATGTTCCCAGGAAGACCGACACTCAACACCGCTGCCAGCAGCAGCTTCACCCATGGCCCTGGCATCCTCCTCATCCTGCAAAACCACAACAATGGACACATGATGCCTCTATACCCCTGGTCTGCAGCGTCTGCTCCCTGGATCCCCACCAGAGCTGCACAGGTGAGACAATCTTGTGTAAGTGTAGAAATGGAGGCTTGACCCAGGCATGGTGGATCATGCCTATAACCCCAGCACGTGGGAGACGGGAGAGAGAGAGAGAGAGAGAGAGAGAGAGAGAGAGAGGGAGGGAGGCTGTCATGGGCAGCTTGAAGTCTTGTAAGGAAAGCAGCTGGCCCCAGAGCTACTAGGGCCTGCATAGAGGAGGGCAAAGGCCAGGGTCACATCTCTGTTTCTAGCGACACAGACAAGGCCACATCCTCTGACCCTCCTCCTCAGATCCTTTCTTAGCAACCCCAGTTTGTAGAGCAGGGAGAGCCCCAGGCTCCGGGAGGCTGAGACCTGCTTAGAAAGGAAAGGAGGATACACTGTCCCCTGCACCCAAGACATGGTCTCCAGGGCAGCCGACAGCAGCCCCAGCTCATCCACAGGCAGAGCCAGCATAGAGAAACCACCCTAACAGGGCAGTGGCTAGGAGGCAGCCCTGAATCAGCAGAGGGGTGGCTCCTGGGAGAAATGTGTTTCTTGCAGGCTTGGGCGTAGGCACCACACCCACACGCTACACAATGCAAGTGGCAGATTTGGCCTCCCCGGGGGCACAATTACCTAGGCAGGTATGGGCACTGGAGGGACAAATCCAGCTCTTTTCACAGGCCCAGTACATAGAGCTGTCACCAACAGCCAAGACAGCAACTGCCATACCCAACACTTATAGCATAGCATAGCACAGCATCCGCACAGGACCCCGGCAGGAGAGGCTTGCCTGTGTATGCTTTAGGATGGGGGGCTGTGGAGCTTCTCATCCAGCAGTCAGCATTGGGAGGGTCTGGTGGGCATTTGGGAACAGCACAGATTTCATACTAAGCTACACAACACACACACACACACACACACACACACACACACACACACAGAGGCTATAAGATGGCAATTAAGGGTCTAGGCAGACACTGTTTTCTTCAACAACTTGTATTTAAAAAGCTCTAAAAGTAGTGGCGCATTATAGAAACAATGAGATTTCACATAAACGTTGGGATTGTGGATGTCATCAGAGTATATGGCCTTGGCAGGCTGGGCGGAGCAGACAGTACAACAGTTCTTGAACATGCCCTGTCACCGTTGGAAGTTAGGGTTAAGGAGTCAAACACACGCCTTTTCCGCCATCCTCTCTCTCTGTCTTTCCACAGCCCCTAAGAGACTCCGTTTTCACTTTTCAGAAACAAAACGGGCCACCTGAGTGGAAGCCTGTGCTCAGGGCGTGGCAAGTCTGAGGGGGAGAAGGACGAGGTCTGTGCTTGCCCTTGGGAACCACCTGGAGTCCCAGGCAGGGCGCAGTGAGCGCTATCCCGAAGACTACCCCAGAGACTGTGAGGAGTGCAGTGCCTGCAGGACTGCTGGGTGAGATTCTGAAACCTCTCTGAGAAAGGGTGCCTGGAGTAGGATTTGGGAAGGGAGCAGGCTGGTGGCTTGCCACGAGGAAAATCAGGGACTCCCCACATCCCCCGCTTGCACTGGGTCACCACACAGCAGATTGCAGACGGGAGGCAGGCAGGCAGGGGGGCGGTGAGCCCCCAGCCTCTACCACTCCTGCACACCTATCCAATGTTCTCCTTTAGCAGGGGCAGCTGGTGACCAACATCCTTCCCCCTTATCCCAACCACCCTGCTCCCAGTTGCCCCCTGCTCACACCCTGGCAAGCTTGGCACCTGTCCTGGCAGCATGGGCAGAGAGAGGAAGCCGGGCCCTGCCAATCTTCAGGGAAGGAAGGGGGAAACAAAAGCCAGGCAGTTTCTCTGTACGGCCCGGGCAGGAGTGGGTACTCCCTTTCCTTGCCAGCCCTGGGGTCCCGGGGCTTGGGGGCAGGCGGCGTGCCCTTGGACGCCCGCTCCCGGCGGGAGCTGCACCTACCTTGCTGGAGGCCTGGGCTGCGCTG